CACTGACTGCCTAGTTCAGAGTTAGTAACCCTTTGAACCAGCCCTTCTCAGGCTAAAGCTGCAGCCTCATCACAAAATTAACATAATGTTTACATATTAAAGAATTATGATAGATATATGTCACTTTCTTTATATATTTGCTTAAGTATTGTTGAATTATGAATACTTCTATCTCTGATTATCTAAATTTATAGGACAAATTCCTCCAACGCATCACTTACATCCAAGTTATTCAAATTATTATGATTGTGTGATAGGAAGTATAGGAATTTGGAATTGATATAACCCTCTTGAATAAACGCAGACTCTGCAGCTCACTGGCTATAAGAACGTGGACAAATCATTTATATCTTTCTACCTCGGGTTTCTCTTTTACAAAATGGGGCTAAAAGTTCACAGCTATTGGTAAATTTAAATATGATAATGCTTGTGTGCTTATCACAGGAAAATGGGAAGTACTCAGTAAAGAGATTGGCTAACCTTATTAGTGGTGGCTTATTTCAGTCTTTATCTTAGTTACTATTTTCTCTGGCCTTTTTCCCTTGTTGTTCCCCTTTTCATTTTAGAGTATGCTTGTGTGGAATATATATATCTGTGTATTCCATTTCAAGAAACCTTTACATTGACACAGAGAAGCCCCCAGACAAGCCCCCTACACTCTATCCTAATCAGTGACATGCCACATAATTTTTTCAATGAATTTTGCTTTAAAAAAAAAAAAACAGTAACAGGAGAATAGCTAAGAAAGATGTGACTTGGCAACAGTTGACATGGAAAGAAAAATGCGTGAAGGTAGTTAATGGTTACAAGTTTGGTATGACCACATTTGGTATGACAATATTCCCATTGTTATCTGAAGGCAGATTGTTATGATAGATAATAAGTGTTCAGATCACATAAATTTTTTTTTTGTTTTTTTGAAGAGAAACCATACTTGAAACAGTGTGTTCTGTCCTGGATTTCACAATAACAAGGAACAAAAACAAAATTATGAATATTTGATCCTCTTGGCCGAGTCTCTGTGTTCTTTTTAATCATTAAAAAACATTTTAATGAAAAATTTTAAACACCCAGTAATGCTTAAATAATTTCATAGTGAACTCCTATAAACCTGCCATCTAGATTATACCACTAACACTTTGTTAGACTTGTTTTTTAATGTATCTATCCATTAATCCATCTTTGATGCAATTAAAAGTAAATTGCAGAATCAGTGCCCCCTCTCTAAAAACTTCACTATGCATTTAAGACTACATTATATATTTCCATTCACTCCTTTTGATGTAAAGTCTGAGAACTATGATATGTATACATCTTAAGTGTGTTTTCATTGAGGTTTGACAAATGTATACATCTCTGAAACAAAACTTTTATGTGTGTGTGTGTGTGTGTATTAAATCTCACCCGAGAACTTTTTTTTTCTGATTATCTTCAGATAGAGTGAGAGGGACAGAGAGAAAGAAACATCGACATGAGAGGGACACATCAACCAGGGCTGGGGACAAACTGCAACCAAGGTAGACGCTCTTGACCGGAATCGAACCCGCAACTCATTGGTCCATGGGCTGATGCTCTAACCACTGCCAGGGCCAAAACTTTTATATTTTAACTGTTGATTTTATATACGTGTGTGTGACTTACCTCTTCTTTCTAAGAAATATAAGATTTCTGGTCTTCTGTGGTGTATCATTTATATTCATTCTTTCCATCCGCAAAGAATTGCTCAGAACTGGACAAGAGATAGTATTTTAATCCTTTTCTCAGTTAGGTCACCTGAAATGAGCCATGTGGTTCACTAGAGTCTTAAGATGTAGATGAGAAGTTTGCACGAGGGAGAAAGGATAGGCAGAGCGGCTGGAAGTGACACAGAGACCTTGCACGCAGCCTAGGCGAAGTGGTGGCAATGCACACTTCGTGTGGACACCAGCGGGAACCCGGCCTTGTTGGAGGAGAGGTTCCAGCAGGAGCAAGGAGAAGCAGGTCACATAGAGAGGCAAGAATTTAAACATGTGCAATGACTCACTTATCTAACTACACATAGTCCTCCACATGTTTACGTTAGAAGTAGCTTAATTTGTCCCGCTGGTGTGGCTCAGTGGATTGAGCATCGTCCCGTGGACTGAGAGGCCCCAGTATGATTGCTGGTCAGAGTATGTGTCCGGATTGTGGGCTCGATCCTCAGGAGTCAGCCAATGTATGTTTCTCTCTCACATTAATGTTTCTCTCTCTCTCTCCCCCTTCCTTTCTCTCTCTCTCTCTCTCTCTCTCTCTCCCTTCCTCTCTCTCTAAAAAAATCAATAAAAAACATATTAAAAAAGAAGTAGCTGAATTACTTCAGTAAGCAGAAACTGAAAAGGAGAAAAGGGCTTAATTTCCTTGGTAAGCAGGAAATTTAGTATATACAGTAGTACCCTCTCCTCCCATATCCTGGTTTTGCCTTCCATAGTGTCAATTACCATGCACCAAAAAGATCAAATGGAAAATTCCAGAAATGAACAGTTCCTAAGTTTTAAATTCCTTGCTGTTCTGGGTATGACCACATTTGGTATGACAATATTCCCATTGTTATCTGAAGGCAGATTGTTATGATAGATAATAAGTGTTCAGATCACATAAATATTTTTTTTTGTTTTTTTGAAGAGAAACCATACTTGAAACAGTGTGTTCTGTCCTGGATTTCACAATAACAAGGAACAAAAACAAAATTATGAATATTTGATCCTCTTGGCCGAGTCTCTGTGTTCTTTTTAATCATTAAAAAACATTTTAATGAAAAATTTTAAACACCCAGTAATGCTTAAATAATTTCATAGTGAACTCCTATAATTGGTCTCCTGCTGTCCTGCTCCCTCCCACCCAGTACTTGAAGAGCCCTTTTGTCCAGGTCTCCCCACAATAGGTGCTTCCCACCCACTGGTCACTGAGTAGTTGTCTCAGTTATCAGACTGACTCTTGGGCTACCTCAGTGTTTGTGTTCAAGCAACCCTTATTTTACTTCACAGTGGCCCCAAAGTGCAAAAGTAGTTTAAATTTTATCAGAGGTATCTTTGTAAAGGAAGAAGCATAGTGTTATAGGATTCGGTGCTCTCTGTGGTTTTCGCCATCTACTGGGGTTCTCAAAATGTATCCCCTGCAGATAAGGGGGGAGTGAGTGCTCTATAGTTAAAAAGGACAGAAAAAAAAGAAAACACCTGATGAGAAATTTTTGGAATGTTAAATGGACAGAAAATAGACCTTTTAAGACCAACATACACACTGAGAAAAGGAACAAAAATATCCTGATCTGTGAAGACAGCATAATGCTGAAACTGAGGACTGAACATAATTATAAAAGCTATTGATTTTTGAGCTCTGGCTACATATCAGAGACTTTAAGTGCTTACATGCATCATTTTCTTAACCTTCATGATAAATGTAGACTATGAATACTAGTGTCCCCATTTTATAGGCAAGTAACTCAAAATACAAAGAAGTCAAATGGCTTGTTCAAAACCACATAGTTTTTGTCAGAGCCATGACTCACTTTCTGGTGAGTATGACACAAAAATCCACCCTCTTAGAATTGCCTTACTCTAATTACATAGTATTCGGTCATTTTTGTCAGCAAGGGAAATACTCTATAAGCATGGAGGAGCACATATCCCACACTTAAAGGAGCTGAAGGTATATGTTTTCCCCAGCATAACTTGATCCACTGTCTGGACTTTTATCTAAATACCAGATGCACCTGGAACAGGGCCTGCTACAGAGTAGGTGCCCGGTGTTTGTTGATAGTTTTACTTAGTAAATGCATTTAGAGATGTTTTCTGTGTGATTTCACCCAGGAAGACTTTATTTGTAAATACAAGCTCTACACCATGAAAGTACTCAAAGAGAGATTTGTCCCTCAGACTTCTATCTGGATTGCTCAGAATACAGCATTGATATATCCAACTTGTCTTCATAAGTTGGAGCCAGGTACATGGAGACCGAGTGGGTTATTGAAAGAGCTCTGTTGTGACCTTGATTCCGCTACAATCTAGAGCGTATCTTTTGTTGTTGTTTTTTGCAGTAACTAATTAAACTTTCTGTGAGCCTTAAGAATCCTTATGTTTCATCCAGTTCTCTCGTTCCATGACTAAGATCAATTGACTGCTTTCTTTAAATGTACACACTTGTAGAGATAGTCACTGTTGATGGGATAGTCACTACGTATTCACTTCTTTCTGTCTGCTGGACACCATGATATTTCTGGGAAAACAAATAATGTATGTGTTCACGAGGATATAGCCCAAATCCACCAATGCATAGAGGTAAAAAGTTATGGTCCAGACAGGATACATGTTTTATTTTTATATAAAACACTTACTCCTAAATTGGAAAGAAGTGACATTACCTCACCTAAACTCAAAATAATAGATATTGTGAAAGAAAATTCTTTATTATCCACATGAAGATTCCAAGAATAAAAGAGGAGAAGGGATTTTCCAAACAGCCCACAATTAATTCATGATTGATCAGAAAAGCATGTCTTTTTGTCCAGGTTTATGTCAGGCCAATTACTCCATATTGTATCAGTATGTTTTCCTGATCTCAAAGTGATAGGGGAAGGGCAGGTAACAAGAATAGAGCCACAGTTGTTTAATGATTATAGATAAGAGTTTTTCTTACAGACCCTGGGAAACTGGAGGAGCTATTGCAAAAAAGAAAATACATTTTAAAAGCAGACCAAGGACAGGGCATGCTTTGACTCGGCTGGTGTGCCTGTACCCTGACTCCCTCTAGTAGTTTGCCTCAGGAATGCCGACATTTCTCCAGTCCCAGGAACGGGATGTGCTGTTTGTAACCTCATGGGAGATTAGCCACCTTGTTATCAGACTTTGAGCTCCTGAAGGCCAGGCCACAGAACTGCAAACCCTCCTCCTCCCCTCCCCTTTTCCCTGTTACACTCACAGCTCACAGCTGCGCACAGCTTGCTCCCTCACCCACATATACTCACCCAGCTGGCCAGGAGGGGTCAGAGAAGAATTTCTAGGGTGACCTACCAGCTGCTCTCCCCATACTGCCAGCATTATTGGAATAAACGCTCATATAGGATTCAACCCTGTCTCTGCTTAATTTGGCTCAAGAGGTGACCTCAGAGTGACTACAGCAGGCTGACATTTGGTAGCAGCCTTATTCAGGTAACACCTCTTCACTTGTATCCATTCACCAAGTCAGTTCTGGGATCTCTTTGACTTTCATGTAGATTTCCCTGGATTTGTTTCCTCTGCACAGGAAAGCAGGGAAGACTTTGCAGCTCATGTTTTTCTTCCTCATTTCTCTATGAGCCTACCAGCTGTGCTTTGGCAGGAAAAAAGAAAAGAAAAGGTTATTTTGTTTTCTTTCCCTGTTTAGAGCAGAAGGGCCCGCTGAGCACTGAATCCCTGGAGACCAGGCCAGGGCGAGACAACCATGGCCAAGTGTATGGAAACGGCACCTCCTCGGGGTGGTGGGTTCTCTCGTGTTTGGAAAGTCAGCTGTGCAAGAGATTAGGAATTAACTCTCTTGAGCATTTCCACAGGCTTCACCCAAACTGGACGTTAGGTGAGATTCAATGGCTGCCTTTCCTCAAGTGACCATATTTTTCCTGGTATCCTCCATTGGGATACTTACTGCTTTTGCAGGTAAGCACATGTGTAGCTCTTGGGAGAGAAATATCTGATTTTCTTTTAGTTATAGGGAAAAAAAGGAATAACGTGATTGGATGGAAAATGTTTTGCTGACATTTGGGCTTGATAATGCAAATTGGTATCAAGTGGGCATTATTAGAAACATTACTATCTGGAAACAAAGTAACCTGCCTCTAGATAACACATGGGTCATGAAAAATCAAAAGGGCAATTCAAAGTTATTTTGAACATAAGTAAAATGAAAGCAAATGAACAAAAGTTTGGGTTCAAAGGTGTGTCCATACCCTTTTTCTTCTACTCCGGTCCCACCCCCCTGTATGTACCCAGCCTCATTAGCTTCTACTTTATCTTTCCTGCGTCTTCTTTTGCTCAAATAAACATGTATGTGTACATTCTGTCATTGCTCCTACTTTCTTACATAAATGATAGCATGCGACAGATACCTGCTGAGTGTGTTTTGGCTTGTTTGTTTGTTGCTTTCTGTTTACTATCCCACATGGGCGTGAAATCATAGGTTCTTGTCCATTCTTGTTTGACTTATTTCACTTAGCATGATACTCTCATTTGAAACACTTATTCTTGGCTATTTTAACTATCATCTGATGATGAGAGATACAGAAGAGCAGAACTACAATAGGTCTTTTCTTGTTTCATTCTCCCTCAGCCAGCTGGTCAACCTCCATCCCAGGCAGCACCAGCACCCCTCAGCACAACCAGCTACGGCGTCCTTCAGTCTCCCTGGAGCCAGGGAACTCCTAAATTTTCTCACCCTCAGTCACTGTCCTCTTTAGTTCAGCCTCTCGGTAGGAGGAGGCCTAATCCTTTATTTACTGTGTCATATTTAACTTTTACAAGTGACTTTCAAATGCATATACTTATCCCAATTGTAGTGAAGAGGAAACAAAAACCATCAAAAGCCAAGTCACTTAATGAAAATAATATGGTTGTGCCTGGTCGGTGTGACTCTGTAGATTGAGGTCATCCCATGGACTTAGAGGTCCTGGTTTGATTCCCAGTCAGGGCACATGCCCGGGTTTCGGGGTCACTCCCCAGTAGGGGGCGGGCAGGAGGCAGCTGATTGATGTTTCTCTCTCACATAGATGTTTATATCTCTCTCTCCCTTCCTCTCTCTCTAAAAAATCAATAAAAATATATTAAACACACACACACACACACAGAGTTGGCACCATATTAGCCACACAATCCTGAACAGTTTTTACTCTTTTCTCAATGACACAGAAACTTTATAAATGAAATAAGGACTGTAAAAATAAAAGAAAAAACAAATAAATAGATAAAACAGTTACCACTCATAAATTCTGACGTATACTTTTGTGCAAATGTGTAATTAAAGTATGTTTCTTTATTCAGTTAGTAACTTCAGTGGGAGAAATACTGTTCCATGGAAAACTTTTTTTTTTTTTAACCCATTGTGTCTTTATTTGCAGCAATGAAACCACATGACTTCTCTAGATGGCCTCCGGTAAATTTTAATTCCTCAATTTTGAATTCTGATTGCAATCTGATCACTTTATTGACATGAGAGACCTAAAACTTCACAGTGGTAAAGTAGAATGGAAGGGTTTCTGTGTGACTTTGGATGTGTATCTTAGCCTCTCCAGACTTAGATTTACTCACAGGTAACATAAGCATGATCATAGGAAAATGTACCTCTGAGCATTAAATGAAACAATACCTGTCACTTGTTCGAGGTTGCAAGGTTAAGCAGTGGTATATATAGGATTTATTCCCAGCTTCAGTACAAACCCTAAATCTTTTTAAATTTTATTTTTCAATTACTGTGGACATTCAGTATTCTTTTATATTAGTTTCTGGTGTACAGCATAATGGTTATACAACCATACAATTTACAACATGATCACCCTGATATTTTAAGGACTCACCTGGCACTGTGCATAGTTATTATAATATTATGGACTATATTCCCTGTGCTGTACTTTACATCCTATGACTTGTAACTACCGTTCTGTATTTCTTAGTCTCTTCACCTCCTCACCCAGCCCCCCAAGCCCCTCCCCTCTGGCAACAATCAGTCTGTTCTCTGTGTCTATGAGTCTGTTTCTGCCAAACCCTCGCCCTGTCCTCCTTATGGTGAGTTTCCGGCATTGGGACCCCAAGTTTAAATGAAACTGCATTTGGGTTTGAAGCTGAGATGTTATAATGCTCCTACGTGAAGAGATGATGGGATGGGTGAAGTCTCTAGTCAGAAAAATACCTGCCTTACCAAAGTGCAGAGTGGAGAAAAATCTGTAGACAAGATCAACTGACTAGTAATATTTGATGTTACTTCTATTAGGGCGGTAGTGGCAGGACAGGAGTAAATAGCGAGGAGTCTACCCATCATTATTTATATGATATTTTTTAATATTTGCAGCCCCCATGTAAACTATACTACCCAACGGATCCTCTTTATCAACTAGATGAACCAGAATGCCCTAATGTGACTGCGTATGTGTGTGCTCTAGACGGCCACACTTACCAGAATGAGTGTTTCTTTTGTGTTGCTCGGTGGTAAGTTCAAGTTAAAAAGTCATTATTTTTCCTCTATATTTCATCACAGAAATGTCAAATAATCTTAGCCAAGGAATTGGATTTACTAAAGCATTGGATTTTTTCTCAGTAGCTTCTATTATTCACAAAAGATTGCAGACAGACTACATATATAGGGATTTCTTTTAAAAAAATGTAGTGAATATTCAAAGTAAACTCATTAAAAAAGGAAAGAAAATCTTACATGATTGTTGTTAACTTGCACAGAAATTTTAGTAGGTATATTCAAGCAATTATACAAATCCAGTTTTTAAAAATTACACAAATTACACATTGACATACCTATTAGTAACACTTGTGATTGTTGTTGGGTAGATTTAAATAGATACAGATACAGACATAGACACTGGTGTTAATGTACATATGAGTAACAAAGTCATGTGGTAAAAGTTGACAGATGACTTTTAGTAATAACTTGTTGACTTCCAACATATTCAATAGAAAATTTAGATTAAAAATTAATAATATTCCTTGTGATTTACTTCAACTCCACTAGAAATTGGTTTTATAAAACAGCCTTGTGTCTTGTCAGTCACTCCCTGTGACCTATGAGATCTTCTGTGTCAGGAGTCCCCACGCCCTCCCGCAGGTCTGATGATTTACTGGGAGGACTCACAGAGCTCAGAGAAGCTGTTGTACACATGGTAATGGCTCACTACAGTGAAAGGAAGCAGCTTAAAATCAGCAGAGGCAGAAAGCTCCAGGATAGAGTCTGGGCGAGGACAGGTACAACCATCGTGTTGTCCTCTCCCATGGACTCACAGCAGAGCCTCAGCCTCCCAGCTGTGGTTTGTGACGACAGGTCGGGAGCACGGCCCACCTGGGAAGCTCACCAAAGCTTTGGTATCCGGCTTATGCACCAGGGGCCAGTCCTGCGGCATGCAGCACCCACATGACTGACAACTACTTAGTCTCCAGGCTCCCCTCAACCCCCCACAAGAGGAGGTCGGACTGATAGAGTGGCCCAGGACCACAGGCATTCACCTGAGCATGAACTATCTGGTGAGGCCTGTGACCCTGGATTACAAAGGCACTCTTATCAGGCATGATACTCCAAGGAATTCTCAGAGATTTCCCTGGAACTAATTTGAGCATCCCAAGTCTGCTAGGTTCACTCTTCTGGGCACGTCCTCCTTTGAGAAGAATCCACCTGGGCTTCCAGCACCCTGTCCCATCCCATGAGGACTACTGCTGAGTACGGAAGGGAATGGGCGTAGAAGCGAGTCCAATAAAGACAATTTTGCTCATCTCCAGAGCAAGTACTACCTCAGAGGATGATCGAAATGTCCTTTCCAGGGAAAGACTGGGAACTGAACAATGTGAATGAACCAAGTTTCTAGCACAGGTTTTGGAGACAGATGAATGAGTGACGGAAGGAGGGGAGCAATTCCTTTGTCCCAGCTTTTGCCAGTGTTTTAAAGAAAAACCCTGGCAAAGTGGACTCACGATCCGGAGAGATACCCACCATTTATGAACAGTGTAAATCCTTTGAGGAAAGAAAACTGAAGTGTGCAAGTCTTGGCCAGAATTGATACAGAATCTGTGTCACTCTCCTTCCAGCCCCACCAAATAGTCAGTGTAGGGCTGTGAGAATAGCTACCAGAAAGATGGAGAGTTGTGTGAAACAGATACCCGACCCTTCAGAAGTCTGTGGTCTTATTTAGCAAAAATATACATGCACAGGAAAATTCATAAGGGACTAGCAGTAGTTTTATTCAAACAAAATCGTAGTTTAGTAAATGTGGGGTTGGTTGACAGTATTTCAAAATTAAGACTTCACCTGAAAATACAGGTTAACAATTTATTTTGTAAAATCAAACATTATACTAATAGTAAGCTAAGATTGTGCCTGTTAGAATTAACACAGTTGCTTCATAGTAGCTGCCCATCTGAATGGAGTCCAAGCTTTCCAGGTAGCTAGAGACCCACCTCTCCCTACTGTGGTGAAGGGGGCCCTCTTCACTTATATATGTCACCAGCTTGGCTCCTATAAAAATAAAGTTAATAACCCCTGATCCACATAAGTAGATATATATTAAAGATGAGCTTGATCTAGGGGTCAGGATTGAGAGTCTCTCAAAGGAAGAGAAAGTTAAAGGTTTCTTAAAGAAAACAATGCAAACAAAACATAATAGGCAATTTACACAGGTATCATTGCTTGAGAAAAGATAAGTAAGGAGAATAGACTGTATCTGAAGGGCATGTAAACCTAGTGAGAATTTGAGCAGAGAGGGTGAACTCTGTCAATTATATATCGTATTATTACAATGTTTATTTTTTACTTTTTGGTAGAAAAACCTGGCATTGCTATGTTGAATGGGAAGATATCAAAATAGGAATAGATTAGGGGATGAAAGATCCTCTGTTGAAAAATTTCACAGAACACTTTGAATAATCACGACATGGAGGAGGAATAGGGGAGTGGTGATAACGCAGGCATGGAGAAGAGAGGGGTATAAAGGCAGCTCCCTTCCTTAGGATGTCATTAAAGATAAGAGAACACGGAACAATGCCTACTTTGCTTGTGATACGAATCTTTTTTTTTTCTCTTCTCTTTAGGGAATTTGGTCCTCATATTAAATTTGACAAATATGGAAAATGTGGTTAATGGCTAACAGTAAAACATTTGTTTATTCTTTTCACTACTTAATTCTGAAAATCATTTCTTTTGGAATTTGAGGATGTATAATAAATAACCTGCCTCTTTTTTCTGCACCCAAATTTATAATGAAATTGAAAAAAAATTAAATTAATGGAGAATCAAATATGGCATTTATTACAAATAAACTTTATCACAAAAAGGGGTGGTCAGTGTTCATCTCCAGGTGCTGATTGTTTAAAGTCAGCTTTCGTTGTGTTTGGGTCTAAGGTCTGTTATCAGGCGAGCTCATCTACCACTCTCCTGAATTACATGGATTGCAGATTGCAGGCTTACCTGCAAGGGCCAGCCCTGCCCTACTAACCTCACTTAGACATGAGCAAAAGAGAAAACATCCCCCCACCTCCGCACACATACACAGCTGTTTGAGTCTTTCTAACTGATATTCATGAGTGAAGCCCTGCATCAGGAGAGACAAATTTCCGGCTGCTGGAATATGATGAACATAACAGTCTGAAGAACAGGGTAGTCCCAGAGACGTGGAAGTAGGGTACAGACTGACAATCCCCAGAAAAGGGAGTGGGGGGAGAGATAAACCACAGAATTTAAATGCATGTATGCCTGAACAATGGGCATGGACAACAAAGCTGGGGACAGGGTAGGGAGGGCGGGGGAGGAGGGTGTCAATGGGGGAAAAGGAGAAACATCTGTAACAAAAATAAATTAATTAATTTAAAAAGATATTGAAAGTAAATTTAAAAAAATAAAGTGATAACCTTGAGATTTTCATCTAGTAAAAAAAAATTTCCACATGCTAATGGAAGGAGGGAGGATAACCAAGAGTTTTGGGGGCAGGCATGTTTTATTTAAAAATTTTTTTTCTTTATTTTCTAGAGGGAGAGGAAAGGAGAGGGAGAGAGAGAGAGACAGAAACATTGATGAGAGAGAACATCAACTGGCTGTCTCCTGCATGCCCCCCACTGGGGATTAGGCCCACAACCTGGGGCATGTGACCTGACCAGGAATCAAAGGGGCCCCCTCTTGGTGCATGGGTTGATGCTCAGCCACTGAGCCACACCAGCTGGGCGGCAGGCATGTTTTAGAGAGAGGTAAAAGGCATTGATATAATTTGACCTCCTGATTTCAGCATACCTAATTCTCACTCCATCTTTCGGTACTACTACATTGGTCAATACGTTTCTTTTTCTTTCTTTTTTTCTTTAATTGATGTATGATCTGCCACTTAAACTAAAAGATCTTGACTAATACAGGGAGACGAAGTCATTTTTACTTTTCAGGCTAGGGAAATCAACTGTGCAAAAAGCCTTTGGCTTCTGCGTGCTTTGTGTCATTACCCATTGTTGCCACTAGATGTCATGTCTTCTATCTTAGTTTAACCAGCTCTTTATTTTAAGCAGTAGCTTCCAGGGAAGGAAGGATACAACTCTACTTTCTCCATCACCTTTCCAGCTCATACACAGTCTACTTCATCTGGCAACAGGGACCCTCCGCCTCTGACAGCTTCCTCCTTCCTTGGTTCTGTACCAGTTTTTGTGTAGAGGCCCAGGCCTATCCTCCTTTAATGAGCCTGGGCTCGGTGCTCTGTGTTAATTCTCCAGGTGATTCTAATGCACATCTACATTTGAGAACTATTTTCTTTTTCTTTTTCAATTTTATTAAATGTATTGAGCTGACATTGGCTAATAAAATTTTATAGCTTTCAACTGTTCAATTTATTATACATCATCTGTACATTGCATTGTGTATTCACCACTCAAAGTCAAGTCTCCTTCCGTCACCATATATTTGATCCCCTTTACCCTTTTCTACCTCCACCCGGGTTCCCTCTGTGTCTATGAGTTGTCGTTTGCTCATTTGTTGTTTTTGGTTTTATATGCCATGTATGAGTGAAATCATAGGGTTTTTTACTTTTTCTGTCTGACCTATTTTGCTTAGCATGATAGTCTCCAGAACCATCCATGTAGTTGCAGGTGTCAGTATTTCGTCGTGTTTCATGGCTGAGCAGCATTCCATTGTATGTATGTACCACGTCTTCTCTCTCCAGTCATCTAGGGAGGACACTCTTTGTTTCCATGTCTTGGCCACCGTGAATAATTCTGCAAATGAAGATTGGGGTACATATATCTTTACAAATACATGTTCTCAAAATTTTGGATAGATACGCAGAAGAGGGATTGCTGGATAATATGGCAATTCTATTCTTAATTTTTAAAGGAACCTCTCCGTACAGTGTCCATTGTGGCTGTACCATTTTACATTCCCATCAGCATGGAGAGAACTATTTTCTAGACTGAGTCCCTCCATTCCTGGCAGAATTGAAAGTGCAGCTAATGACCTTACTGAGGAAATGATGTAACTGCTCTCTGGGCTAACTTGTTTTATCTCTATAATGAGAATGTTAACTTGGATAATAAAAGTTATATAACATTTATGTAATTAGCATTACTATGTATACTACTTTGTCTTTATCACTATATCAAACATGAGTACAGGGAAGTCAATTAAACCCAAAATGCATTGACTGAGAGCCTAATTCAGGTAGTCACTGGCTCTTTGAGTTGGATTGAGGACTCAGAGATCATCTGAACAATCTCTGACTTCTGCCACAATATTCCTATTGGGCTAGCATCTACCTGGATTTCCCATGAAGGGAAGTTCACTGCATGATGTAGTATGAACGACACTGTGGAGGTCTGACTGTAAGGAAGCCTTGCTTGCCTTGAATCAAACCTGCATTATGGTGCTTTCGACCATTAGAGCCCTCCTTATTATAGGACTATGAGCTCCTGAAGGCCGATCTGCAGACCCTCCCTGTCTCTGTTACACTTGCAGCTCACTGCTGCTCATCGGTTTCTCCCTCACCTGTATACAGCCAGCTGGCCAGGAGGGGTCAGAGCAGAACTTCCAGGGTGACCACCTGACTGCTCTCCCCATACTGCTGGCATTATTGGAATAAACACTCATATATGATTCAACTCTGTCTCTGCTTAATTTGGCTCCATTAATGACAGGCGGCCTCAGACCTGTTGTGTCGGGTTCAAAAATAAAAACACAGACCTGTCTTCTGCAGAATTCATTTTATTGTTAAGCAAATCAAAGATCATAGATATATATTGAATTCCCGAAGACCCAGGCAGAGGAGCAGGTGTGTTTTCATAAAGTGAAGAGATCTGCTAGAGAAAAATAAAAGCAGAAGCAAGAGAAGAAGGATGAAAGAGCCGGCCAGTCCGCACAAATCACTGGCGCGAGTTCAGCATTTCCCATAATGCTTTAGGTTGATCTTCCCACCACTTTTCCTACGAAAGAGAAAGACAAAATACGCTCAGTGCAATATCATTAGTATTCATCACAGATGTTGGACAAAATTTACGTCATCATCTATATAATCATTTGATTCTGCAGGTATCCATGTTGATGATTTGACAGAAGTTAAGGAACTTCACTCACAGGTGACAGCTGTCCTATTTGCGGAAAACATGAATCTTAAATAAATAAATTTAATAAGGCTTAGACTTCTTTTTATTTCAATGGTTTCTTCTCTGGGAGTAATACGTACACAACTGGAAAAGGTAAAAGTAGCAGGAGAAATAATGACAAAGGGACTAGCGTTTGTCCTGATAAAAGATGGAAGAAGTCAAACCACATATTTCAGCAGGTGGCATTTTTAGCAGACCCTATATTTAGGCCTCAGTAATGAGTGCCCGTTATATCAGATCTCAATTTACCCTACTGCTATTATCTTGAAAAAAGTTTAGTATTAATTAGTCAGATATATTATATATAAGTGTACAAACATATTTATTATCTATTGATTCAAAATTTATTCATTTAATTCTATGTGCTTAGCCCTGTTATTATTGATAGAGAGTTATATAATCCCCAGGCTTAGGCATTTTACAGCAAAGTTGAAGGAGATTAAGATATTCATAGAAAAAACTCTAATACAAGAAAAAAACAAGAGTGGTGAAGAAGTGAGGTTACTTTTAACGTGGGGTATTCCCGGCCCATGTGGCTCAGTGGACTGAGCACCGATCTATGGACTGAAAGGTCCTGGTTCGATACCAGGTCAGGGCATATGCCCAGGTTGTGGGTTTGATCCCCCGTAGGGGGTGTGCAGGAGGCAGCTAATCGAGGGATGTTTCTATCTCTCTCTCCCTTCCTCTCTCTCTGAAAATCAATAAAAACATAAAAAATAAAGAGGGTTCTAATTCCCTTGATTTTAGAGTAATCAGACTAAGAGACAAATCGATTGAATACATTTTTATGAATTATAAACTATGTCCCATCAGGAAGCTCACAGATATTGGCTAAAATCTACAGAACCTGTTCCTTATAAACTCATTCAATAAATATTGACCCTTGATTGAATCTTTCTAGTACATGATCTGTAAAGTTTCAATAGTCTGGATAATGAAGGATGATCCTCTCTGCTGTTCTTTGTGGGAAGGATCTTTTAATCAGACTAAAAGTGAGGAATGAATGAAAACTGATGCCTTACCAACATAGAATTTGATATAAAATAAAATGCTTGAAAAATGTGGATAAAATAATATTTTTATTGCTAGTGAATTTTCCCACAAGTTTTCATGTTTCTGATTTTGATGAATTTTCTAACTTAGCTACATAGCTAAAAATTTCATCATCTTCTCTATAATTAACATTAATAATGATAACAAATCATAATTGGATAAGAATGAATACAATTTTTAGTTAGAAATAAATAGAAAAATAAGAAAATGTATCAAAATTATTAAAAATGTACACATTAAAAACTTCTCTAAGATGAATCACATTTAATAATTACAAAGTAATAAAGATTATGCTTTCAAATAATTTATTATGTAAAATTTTTATTTGTTTTTGACCGATTTGTTTTTGACTGATTTGTTTTCAATTTGTTTGCCTGAAGCTTATTTCTTTTATTTCTATGGGTGGGTATGAATAGAAATTTCTACACTATCTCAAGGGAAGTGTCATTGTCTTATCCTGGAAGTTTGTGTTTGTAAGGGACAGGTTGGTGAGTATGATACTTACGCCACTGCCTTACAGAAGGCACATTTATTGCCATATGTCTGGCCATCAGAGCCACAGTGGGGATTAGATTCTCGAGTGCAGTAGGTCTTGGGATCCTCAAAATCACCACAGTCAATCTACCAAAGTAAGCACAGTGACATGGACATTAGTGCATTCTGCCTAAGGGACCGTTCTGCAGAACAGAAGCTTTAGACAACAAACTTAAATTTATATATGTATATATATATATTTTTTTATAAAGTTATATTATATATTTTTATATATTTTATAAAGGTATATCTAAATATATACATATTTATTTATATTTAACTATATATAAATAAATATTTATTTTTATATAGTTAAATATAAATATATATAAATATTTGTTATATACAAATATATAAATATATATAACTATTTATTTTTATATATCTGTTTATATTTAGATAAAATCATATGCATATAAATATATTATAATAAAATTTTATGTATTATATGTGTGTGTGTGTGTGTGTGTGTGTGTATATATATATATATATATATATTTGTGATGTAAAGCTTCCTGAAGCAGAAAATGGCCTTCCTTGTCTGCTTATTTAGAATGTGCTAGACCTAACTGAGACGTCTTCTCTGAGACCCAGGATGCCCATTTCTGTAGCACCTGTATGCAGAAGTAATTAATGATGTAAGGCAGTGACTTACTCTAATGTAAGGAGTAAGGCAAATGCCATAGGTATAGCTTTTTGTTCCAACACTAATTTGTTCTAATTGAGAGTAGTTTTTGGTATTTGTGTGACTTTTTTTGTTTGTTTACTGTATTAATGTAGCTCTACTCGCACTCCTTCCGTATTGTTATAAAGATAAGGATGGTCCTTGCAAGAAGCTTCCAAATGTTATGTGATGGCCTGTTAGTTTTCCTTGTGGCTGCTGCATCCATTTAGTCTCTTGAAAACAACATTTTAATGTCTTTATATTAACTTACTCTGTCTCAGAGTCTGTAGTATTTAAACATTTGTGCATAAGTTGTTCTATTTAGGATTCTGAGGTTGCATCCAGTCTCGGGGAGAACATGTGCTATGATGATTAATACTTATTGTCATGGGCTCTGTAGTAGCACCTATGCCCTCAGTTACAGTGTCTCAGAAGTAGCCTGGAGTTTTAAAACTCTTCTCAATTCAATGTCAATTGAATCAATATTTGGTCTGCAAATGACATTTGAGCCATTTTATTTCAGGGTACAGGCAATACACAATAGGTAGAACCAAACTTCTCCAAATGTCAACTGTGTGGAAGGAAGTGCCCTTTAACATGAATAGAAGGACTATACTTCACCCCTCTCCTAGTTCCATTAATAATGTCTTATGTTTATCAATTGCTTCATAATATCCAAACCATGTAAATGAACTCAGTAGAGTCTCACACCAGCCTTGAGATGCACCTGGGACAATACTATATTGAGCAGTTTACAGATGTGAATATTGATCCTCAGGATAATTAAGTAGCTTCCCAAAGCCACACAACCAGAAAGCATTAAAACCAGTGTTTGAACATATTTCTTCTCACTGCTAATAAAGAATTTCCAACAATCTACCATGGTTGATTTCCAACACATCCTCATTGAGAGAAATAAAAACCAATTATCACGATGTACCCTTAACCACACTGACAGTCAGGATATGTAGACTTTATTGAAATTTCTTATTAGGAAAGTGTGTGGGCACAGGTAGGAGGAATCATATCTTTAAGATGTCAGCAAGCCATTATATATACTGGCAAAGCTCTCTGAAGGTTTGCATGGGGAAAAGCTCAGCAAAAGAGTCATACAGTTGAGTTACAAAGCATTATCACACATCGCAGATGTAAGGTACCTGAGTCTATTATACTCACATTTTTTGTTAAAATGTTACTTCTTATACTATTGAGGTTGGGTAGGTGTTCATCAGAGATCTTAGGGCTTGGTTGGGTAGAAAATATCTAGGCTTTTGATAACCCCAACTGTAGTCCCACGTTTCCCCCCCACTGCTCCTAAATATAACTCCATCCTTTCACACTTCTTCTGGGATAGTAACATTTCCTTTAGGTTCCCAAATAGAAGCAAGGCTGGAGAATCTTTAGGACATGATTAATCATAGAACACCTTTTTCCCCTCAAAAGTGAATGCATTTTGTATTTAAGTCGTGAATATACACATTTGCAATTGTGTGCTTGAATCAATAACAGACTATAAACCATAGGCTCATCATTGATAATTTAATTTATTCCACCAACAGCCGATGGGTAACTAATATTAGGCAGGCATGGTTCTGGGTACTGGCAATACAGAGAGGAATCAGTTATAAACACTATCTCTGTAACTTCACCATCTTATGTGCATTACGAAAGCAGAAAAGAGCACAGATAGTTACAGCACAGTGTGTGATTAGATGCCACAGTGGGCCCAACACAGGCAATGTGCAATCTGAGAACAGGGCATCTCTGACAGAGATATGTGTGTCTCTACAGTCAGGTCAGCAAGGAAAAGAAACAAAAGTCTCTTACTTTAAAGAGATGCCTTCTTAAGCCACCTTTACATGGCAATCGACCCTCTGATCTTGTGATCCAAGCTCTTTTGTCCTTTAGAAAGCAGATAGGGAAGTGGAACGTGGGGAGAACATTCACTTTGAGAGGTTCTAGACCCCACCTCTGTCCCTAAACCCCCTTTTCTCCATCCATTGCCCCCTGGGAATGAGACTAGAAAGGACTAAGGATTTCCATAAATAAAACCAAATCAATCAAATGGTACAGGAACAAACTTTCTTAGAACATAGATACATCTCATATGTCTAAATTGTCACGCCCTTCAAGGATCCCTGAAGTAGCTGGAGAGCCACGTGTCAGACCTCGTTCTGCCATTCGCCATTGGCTGGTTGTGTCATCTCGGACAAAGCACTCGCTGTCTGCACCTCAATTTTCTTAACCAAAATGTGTTTTAAGTAACACTTGTCATGCTTCATTCCCAGGGTTGTTATAAGGATCAGATGTGGTCAGATAAGAGTTGTAGAAAGTCAGTGTGGAATATTTAAATAAGCTTGGACCAGGCATGCAGGAAATAAGCTTCTCATTGGAGACCTGCTCTAGCTGCAGCTCTCACCGCATTTTGCAAGGAGCTTCAAGCAATTGTTCAGTACCCTTAGATTAGATGGTCTCTAAGGACTCTTCCAGCTTTGACAATATAAGATTTAGCAGTGACTTTTTCAGTTAAGTGGCTTAAATAAAATTAAGTCTTTAATTATTCAGTTGGGTGTGAGACATAACAACTATTTCCCGAATGCTTCTCTCTGTTATATCTAGAGACCCCCGTCACCCTCTTCACTCACTGTGTGAGACATTTCAGTGTGGTGACTGGGCACAGAAAGAGGCCACTCTCTGAGAGCACCAGAGGCTGGGGAAGGTGAGGAATGACTTTGCAGAGTCCGACAGAGATCCTTTCTGTGAGGCAAACAGCGAGGCAGAACTTCAGAATATCTAGTTGGATTAGAAAGAGACCACAGCTCTCCACCTAAGGAGAAGTAGGCTAAGAATATCATGAGTTTTTCCTGCCTAATTTCCTCTCCTCTTCTATATTTTTGTTTTGGTCTCCTTTCAATAGAATACAAACACCTGGTTTCTTAGTAGACATCAAAAAGCAGGTTTAGACCAAGAGTGACAGGATTTTCTTTTCTCCTTAAAGTTTCCTCCATGAGATCCTCGGACAGCTAAAATCCCCTGAATCTATTTAAAGTGCCCTAATGCTCTATAATGTTAGGAGATTGTACTAGAGATGGAATTAGACTGGCCTGGGTTTGAATTTTGCTTCTTTCACTTACTACCTGCATAATATTGCGTGAATACCTGACTGCTCTGAGTTGAAATATTTTCCTATTTAACTGGGAGCTGGCAAAGCCTGCTTTCTAGGGTTGTTGTAATGCTAAGTCCTCTGAAAACACGTCACATTTCAAGTATCATGTGGAGGATCGCTATTATAAACACTTACAATGTAAGTTGTTTCACATACTAAAATTTTTGGAGGGCATTATTTGAGGCCTTTTGGTTGTTGTTACTGTTTTGTTTTAGTGTTTTTTAGATTGGTGTTGGCTTTAATGAGAGCTTCCACTTACATAGGCCAGCTCCCAGAGACTACCTCTAGGTACTCGAGTGCCAATGTTTAGTATCGGCCTGGCCCCTTGTGGTTCTTTATACGACTGTTCCTTCAAAAATATTCTGGGCTACAGGGTACTCAGATTAGTTATCTAATGGTAACCACAAAATCATTTAAGTTCGCTGGAAAATGAGCTTATATGACCACAAAAATTAACTAAGAAGTCAGGATCATGGATATTTTAGTCTAGCATTTCAGTTAAACAAAGCCAATGAAAATTTGCAAACACACACACCTCTAGGGTGTAGGCCTTCCTATGTTTAGCTCTTTAACTCTACCCGTGTGGCTACATCAGCTCCTTTTTAAATCATAGCAGTTTGCTGAACCCCTCCCCGACTTGCCTTCCACTGTCCTTGCTTTCAAAAAATCAATGCCTAAAAAAGGGAAGAGACTCATGTGTTGATGAGAAACTTGGATTAAATTTCATATCTTTTCAATCCATGTATAATGGTCTTATATTCTTATATTTTACTACCTAGGGGCATCCAAAATGGTTGGCTGGATCTCAGGTCCTTTTCCTGTTTGTTTGTTTTGATATTTAACATAGATTGTGCTACCATATGTGTTTAAACATAATAAGAAATCCATTTTAACGTATACAATTTTATATGCAAGTACAGACATGTGTGTATGTGTTATACACACAAGTGCATACACACATACATTGCGAGTTAATTGTAGGGCGTCATCCATTGTAAGATGCAACTCAATTTCTGAGATTTTAAAATCGGAAGGAAAAATAGTCTCCTATAACACAATTGGTAGACTAGAGTTGGAAAAGGTTTTAACTCTCTTGCCAACTTGAACCAGTCGGCAGCAGAGTCTGGAAAATTTTGATGTCAAGGGTTCTTGGGCACACCAAGGCTAACAAGAACCATTTCCAAGATCATGTAGAAATGTTCTGTACGAACACAGGAGCAGCTGGCTGAGCAATTCCCACTTGTTTCTGGAAAAAACGTTGGTGGATTAATTTGTAAATAAATCAGCCAGATCGATGAAGATAATTTGTGCCCATTCCAATTTTTAACACAAATTGTATTTAAGTTCAAGTGAACCAGTCTATTTTATTTCTGAGTAAGCAACTTTTTTGTTGACCCTCTGTGCCCTTACTTCTTCAAAAGAAATAACCTCAGCCCTAACTCCTTCAGAAGCTGTTAATCATTAATCAATAATTAATCCTTTTATAGTTTACCAAACGCCTCCACATAGTTTATATCATTTCAATCTGACTAAGATCCCATGAGATGAATGAGATTATTGCTCTCTTTTATTTTTACATTTGTGGAAACTGCAGCTCAGAAAACCTGAGTAACTTGCCCAACATCTCACAGTGAAAGCAGAGCTCCAGTCTCAGTGTTATTATAGATTCATCCTGTACTCATTAATAATTGCTTTACTTTAGTTAGAGGAAATACATAGAAAAGTCATAGTTATAAAATGAATTACTTCCACCTTTCTGCATTTGGCCTGCTTGTTCATTGTTTTTTGCTCTTACACCCACAGACAAATCTTTCTTTGGCCCCAAGAATACCAGCCAAGCACCACCCAGGTCTGAAGTATAGATAAAAATATGCACTGACCTGTCTTCCTTGACTGAAGACACCTGGGGGGAAAAAAAAAGGACAAAATCTGAACACTGTAATTTCTGAATGGGCGAAAGGTGTGATTTGCAAAATTAGGAAATCCTCAAGCCTGGGATAATACTTGTTCTTGGTTCTTGGTCGTCTCAACAAGTCGTGGCATGGTTGTTTTATTTTTTATACCTGTTTATTTCTTAGGGAGCAATAGCGACTTGGGAAGTAATGAAAGAGGATGGACCAGGATGAAGTCATATTTCTTAGAGGTTGGGTGGGGGGTGAGAGAAAATAGATTCGGGATCTAGAGATTCATGTTACAGTTCTGGCCCAGTTACTAATTTACTGCAGGAATGACTTTCTCATCCTTCATCTTATTTTGGAGAAGCTCAGTTGGCAAATCTTCTCTGACTGACATTTCGAGGTTTAGTGCATTGTCTTTCTCAAGGGCTGTTTGGGAAGAGATGAACTTTGTTATTTTTTCTTTGAGGTCAAGATTGCTTTTCTGCCCTCTGTACTCAGCTTTAAAGACTTGGCCCCAATATACACTGGCAAGGACGAAGTCACTCTTGGTTCTGTGACTCATTTCTCTTGCTACATCTCTCTCAATTCCAGAAAGAGGAAAAAACAACTCTAAATACAGTCTTGCTTCTCTCTCTCCCTCCATCTTTATGGTTATATCTGTGCTTTTGAGGTTGCGGCTAATTAGCTCAATGGTTTAAAATACTGAAATAAATGAAAGTTTTAGAGTCAGTTCTGCTATGAGCTGAACTCTGGTCATTTTTGTGGAACTCCAAATGCCAGTGACACCTCACACATTTAGCCAAAAGCCTCCTTGAAGACAGAAAGTATATGAATAAGTATTAGCACTTGAGGGAGGACAACTGAAAATACCTTCAAGAACATTCTTTGTTAATGGGGATGAGGAGAGAACAAGGCTTTTCATTTTGAAATAAAGTTGATGACCACCCGCTGTAGTAATTAGCAACCATATTGCAGCTGTATTATTAAAAAATACAGACTTTCAGGATAATCATTTGAAAATTCCATTATACAAGACCAAATAGGGCCTGGAAATCTATATTTTTGTAAGCACTGAAAGTGATTTTTATGACCCAGGAAAACTCATTCTTACAATTCTCAGATATTTCTTCACTGTATAAATCTTTAATCAGAACAGAAGAAATTTTAGCCAATATATTATATGTAAAAAATATCAAGTCAGAAGGAGGATAAACATCATCAATGCCTGAGTTCAATATGGTGGTCTTATTATTAAACTTTAATAATGCCAATATTAATAGGCATTTGTTAAACTCTCACTATATCCCATTCACTATGTAAAGCACTTTACATACATTTTCTCATTTAATTCCCCACATAGGGATATTCCTTTTATATCCCTATTTTGCAAATGTGGAAAAGACCCAGAAAGGTCATGAGCTATGAAATGGAAATGCCGGGACTGAATTGCAACATTGGCTCTTAGTCATTAGCCTCCCCAAATACCAATTTATCTATGAAGGACCATGTTTTGGTAAATTAAGTGTCTTGGTCCACCAGATCCAATTAAAAGATCACAAAGAGAAGCAGTAAGAGGATATCAATGAACTTCTGAGAGCATCTTAGCAAGCACATTTTAATATAGTCACATCTATTTTTATGCCACCTCCACAGGTGAGAGAAACATCGTGTCATGTTGTTTAGCCTTATCAGTCAAACTTATTCCATAATATCACAGTAATCCTTTATCCAATTGTTTTTCACATTTTTAAATGTACAGGGTATCCCAAAAAATGCATATAAGGTGTCTGTAGAGTCTATTACATTTTGAAAATAAAATGTATTTCAATAAATGCTGGCTTTATAATTATACTTTTTTTGTGTGTATACAGTTTTTGGGGGACACCCTATATTTGCTCATGTAAATATAACCAGTTTCCTGCCTGGCTGGTGTGGCTCAGTGGATTGAGTGTCATCCCAAGGACTGAGAGGTCCTGGTTCAATTTCCGTTCAGGTCACATGCCCAGGTTGCGTGCTCGATCCCCAGTAAGGGGCATGCAGAAGGCAGCTGATCTATGTTTCTCTCTCACATTGATGTTTCTATCTCTCTCTAAAAAATCAATAAAAACATATTAAAACATATATAACCAGTTTTCAATGAACAATGACTTCTTTATCTATTCAATTTCATTGAAAAATTGTTGTTTTTAACATGTTCAGGCATTTAAAAATCTCTGATAGCCCCCACATTCAACATTTGTCACAGAAATGATAGATCAGTTATAGAAGGTCCCAGAACCCTGTCTCCTTTCTGGAACTCTATGACAGAATATCTCAGAGAACTGAGCTGTGTCTCCAGTTGCCACAAGTGGAAGAGATGGGTCTAGGTCTTGGGTTTAGAAAGACTAGCAGGTGCTTTGTCTGCTACAACAGCATAGAGTGGAAACATAAAGAAGGAAAGAAAGACACGCAGTGGCCCTGTTCATTCACATGGCCCTGTACTGAAAAAGATCAGCTCAAGGTACAATTGTGTTTTTGAACAATCTGAATTGATAGACTATATGACTGTTGCTCATTAAGGTGACCAAAGAGATTCTCTTTCTTGAAGAACTGTTGAGTTCCTCAACAACATATATGCTTCAGTATTCTAAGACTGGACAACTTTTTTTCTGAAGGATTCTCTAATTGAGTTTCCTCCTCTCCCACCCCCCTTGTTTTAATTGTAATTGAGTTCCAATCACTGTATAAGAATAATGAGTATAGGGAAGCTTTTCTTTGTCTTAGCAAACCAAGCTAATATTTAAAACAACTAGCCACCCCCCAGACTAGTTTTGTGAAACAAACATAAACCGTGCTGTCTAAAAGATCTGATCAAATTTCAAATTCTACTTATGAGTTGCAAATCCTTTGGCAATTTTCTTAAATTTGTGCTCCAGTTTTCTTATATGTAGAATATAGATAGGAATATCTTGCTGTGTGTATTGGAGATAATGCCAAAAGCCCTTAGTACATGCCTAGAATATAGTACATGCTCAACGAACGGAAGTTATTTTTATCATTATTACTATTTACCATTTTCATCATCACAATCATAATCATCATTATGATAACCTCTCAGAATTGGTCTTTGATATCAAAATTGTTAGAATTTTGAAGTATGGTGGGCAAATACACTTGTCATCTCCAGTTCAGCATAAATATTGGATTTCAATTTTAAAGAAAAAAACTCACCTGAGAAAAAGCAGAAAAGAGCCAGAGAGAGGAGCAGAAAGACACCTGACAGTTTCATGGTGCCAGTTAGCTCACTCCGATCAAGGCTGCTTTGTCCTGCTCAGGTTCTCTGTCAAGACACTTCCAAGGACACTAAACACACGCTCAGACATATATATATAGAGAGACACACGATAGAGGATGTTGGGATCTCCACCTGCTTTAAAAGTCACATTCTAAAACCAGATGCAGTCCTATATACTTTAGGCATTTATTATGACCTGTCACTGATGTAAAGAAATGCTTCATGATCCCCATCAGTCTTAAAATTAGGACAATTATGTGAGTCGCACCTTAGATCTCATTCATAGAGGATGTCATTTTCCACTGGTAAACTAGATTTTCCTAACAAGCAATACATCCTCCCTGCTCTTCCTCTACAGTGTCACTACATTAAAGGGATGAGTCACTGGTGGGGCCACACTTGAAGTCTGTGTCTCCTTCAGACAGGTCCTACATGTCTGTTGTCCGGGTGAGCAACAACAGAGGAATGGAATCTTGGGTGTAACTTGGATTTTCAGAGTCCACATCATCCAAGATGTACCTAAAAGAGAGAGGTATTCTACTCTGTCACCAGAACTGCATCAGTAAAAGCATTTTTCTGGGCAGAAATTAGCCTGTTGGTTTTTTAAATTGTTATTATAGTCATGTGGCAGTGGTTTTCTATTTTTAAGTCAAAATGAAGAACAGAGGTGATGTATATATTTTTTAATTTGTCAAAAGTAAATTATTCATTTTTAGAAGTTAATGAATTGAGGAATATTTAACATTTCCTATTCTGCAAAGTAAAAAAGTAGTTATAAGAAAACTATGTTTTAACTCCTTGACAATATACTTTTGTACAAGTTAGATGAATGCCATGAATTTTTATGGTCAATTTAATTGTGAGACAGAGCAAAGAGTAAGACGGACATCACAGCTTTTTCCGAGGGAACAAAAAATAAATAAACAATGGTCATAGTGATCATGACAAAGTCTGTCTCAAATCATAATCAGCTACTTAAATATTATGAGGTAAAATATAATCATTTAAAATATAGGAAGAATAGCCCGGCCAGTGTGGCTCAGTGGTTGAGCATTGACCCATGCACCAAGAGGTCGCTGGTTCGATTCCTGGTCAAGGCGCATGCCCAGGTTCTGGGTTAAATTCCCAGTGTGTTGCCCTGGCCAGTTTGGGTCAGTGGTTGGCGCATCGGCCTGTGGACCAGAGAGTCCTGGGTTTGGTTCCCACTAGGGGCACGTACCAAAAAAAAAAAAAAGAATTCCCTGTGTGGGGCATACAGGAGGCGGCCAGTTGATGTTCTCTCTCATCAATGTTTCTATCTCTCTCTCCCTCTCCCTTCCTAAAATCAATAAAGAAAAATATTTTTAAAAAGATTATTGTTTATTCAAAAATGAAGCATGATTGTGATGAAAAAAAAAGAATTTTTTAAGTTTCTTCTCTGACAATTTTAAAAGATCTGAACTTAAAGGGTAGAGGAACAAGAGAGAGAGGAGCAGAGATAGGACAGTGAGGAAAGGAATAAGAGAGAAGGAAAAACATGTGCTTGGAAAGTATTAAGTGTTTTCATTCTAGGGTGGAGTGATAACACACATACATACACCCACGCTCACATAAACACAATCTTAAAGTTCTTTACAGAAAATTATAGGTCAGATGTTAGACCCTAAAAGTTTCAAAGACACCAGTGACCAACCTTACAAACTGTATTGAAATTATTCTTAAACACTTTAGGAGAGGAGTGGTCTGGGAATATTTAGAAAAGAGAATAATTGGGAAATTGCGTAAGGAAAGCTATGGAATTTTCACATAACACTTTTGTCTACTTGATGTGATCTTTAATTATTTTGCCCCTATTAAATGAGATAATATAAAGAACCAGGCTTGGAAACTTGGTATCATTTCATAGGCTTGGTTTTAGGTACTGCTGTCTTCCTCCATCTTCAGAATCCCGCCTCCCTTTTGCATTCTCCCTTTCCTTCCCATTGTGTGATCCCCAAATGGCAACAAATTCAAAAGCACTAATAAATAATAAACAAAAGTGTAACAGCAGGAGTTGGTGGCATTCCATCACAAGGTCCATGGCAGCCTTCCTAAAATGTGTTCCAACTTCTCTTCCCTTTTTGGTAGTCGCTTTCATTTATGGTAGTTGCTCCTCATCCCCTGCTCTAAATTTTCAAAATCACCATTTGCCTAAATGTTACTCTCTCTTTCCACACTTCATTCTATCCTTCCCTACCTCCCCCATTTTCCAAGAGCTTTTCTTCAACAGGTGTATTTGCTAAAATGATTCTTAGGTAGAATGATTCTAACCTATTTTCTTCCGAAATGTTTCAATTCAGTTATCTTTGACATTTACCCTCCTCTCCATAACAAAGCTTCGGAGCATGGAAGACCAAATAAGTATTGCATCTGGACAGGTGTTGGGGAGAGAATATTATATCACAAGGATATATATTTTAAGAAGTCTGGCATTTTGAACAATAGTTTTTGTTAGGTTTCTCAGTCCATGTGAAAGATTTTTTTTTTATCTTTTAATAATATTATAAAAAAAAGAAAGTTAAGAAACCTCTGGGGATCACTTATTAGCTCCTTAAATAAGAAGATGCAATAATAGAAGGTTACCGAGATGTCACAGGCAATTATTCACCAATATTAAAGAAGCTGTGTGTAATTCTAGTCTTGGCTATCATGCAAGTAGATGAGAACAGTTTGGATTTTGTTTTCTGTAGAACTCTGAAAAGAAAATAGAATTCTGGGAAAAAAAATTAACAATCATAACATTTAAAGGTCAGTTTCAGTGAATTGAATCATGGGGGGGAAAAAAGAAACAAAAATGAAAAGGTGTGAGAGAAAGCAGCAAAAGCCAAGCCATTTTACAGACAGCAGAAGGCAGTCTCAACATCCATGTGCTTGATCTCGGAACCTGGCTATGCACGTTTTCTTTCCTGTAATTGAAGACAAAAACACTGTGAGATTATAGTTTCCAAGCATAGTTTATCATATAAACATGATACGTTTACTAACACATATTACCATCTGGGGTCATATATACAAAATCACTTACATTATTTAAGAGTAATTCTGACTCTATAATTTCGGGGATGTAAGAGATTTTTTTCTTTTGCACATTGGAGGGACTTTTAAGGGTAATTTTGACTCTAGAATCTTTGCTGCTGATTCTACAATATCACATCACCTACTGGGGGGCAGCTTTATGGCTTGTAGAAAAACTGAGGTCTGGGCCCAAGGTCATATACATATCTGTTTACATGTTTTAACATTTTATCTGTTTGTATAAAATTTCCCCCAATATCGTACATATGTAGTACAATGTGTTATTTTGAAATATCACTTCTCAAACATCTGTGTTCTTATCACCAAGCCCTTAAGCTCTACCGCCATGTAGGGCAGGTCTTGAGACAGAGGCGTATTTTCAAAAAAGAACAGCCACCACCTTAATCAAGGAAGCCACTGTTCAACATTAAACTCTAAAGTGGATTTTTAAAATTTTTTAACATTACTGCCATACAATAGACTAAAGTCTAGAATTTTTTATGTAGCCACAATGAAAATCAAGCTAAGCAACAAGTATGGTTTGCTATATAAAACTTTTGGAAGTTAACGGATGCTATACATTTTAATATAGTATTAAGAAAACTTGTTTCATTTAAAGATATGTCTGTTTCTAATTCTCTTTCTTTTAAATAGTTTTTTTATTTTAAAATTTATTTTTAAGGATGAGTTTTGTATTTTTATATTAAGCCTCCTCAAATCTCTTATTTTGAAATGTGTGTTAAATCTTAACATTGATTTGAATAAGATCCAAGAAAATAATTATTATAGTATAGATTTAGGAACACTATGAAAATACACTATTATCTTTAAGCATCAAAAAACAAAAGTCACAGTAACTTTGTTTTTTCCTTTGACACAGTCAAATAGTGGACGCAGTGGACGCAGTGGATGGAAACATCAACCAGGCATTAGATAGTCTCTCATGCCGTGATTGTGAGAAGATCAGAGTAATGACTGGACAGCTGTAACTGGTCCAACAACCAAACAAAAAGTTGCTGATGGAAGAATTAACATGACTGGAGGAACAGAATACTGTCCCAGTCTGTACTTTCATAACTGACTTAAATGAAGATATAGAGAGCCCTGGCCGGTTTGGCTCAGCGGTTGGAGCGTGGCCTGCGGTCCTGAGAGACCCGGGTTCGGTTCCCGCTAAGGGCGCGTACCTCGGTTGCAATTTGTCCTCGGCCCTGGTTGGTTGTGCGTGTGGCAGCCACTCGATGTGTTCCTTTCACATTGATGTTTCTCTCTCTCTCTCTCTCTCTCTCCCTCCCACTCTACCTGAACAAAAAATGGAAAAATGTCCTCTGGTGAGGATAAACAAACAAACAAAAAAAATGAAGATATAGAGAGCACAATTTATACCCTGCAGTGTTATTTATAACATCATCCAGTACACTGAAAGGTTGTGGGTTTGATTCCTGATCAGGACATAGCTGGGTTGCAGGTTTGATCCCCACTCAGGCTATGTCCAGGAAGGCGGCCAATTGATGTTTCTCTCTCTCATCCATGTTTTTCTTTGCCTCTCTCTCTTTCCTTCAAATCAATAGATAGGCATGCCTTTGGGTGAGGATTAAAAAACAAAAAGAAAGCATGCTTTAAATATGAAGTCACATCTGTATTATTCTCTCCTTTTGTGGTTCATTTTCTTCACTTACATAGAGAGTGTTTCATCTTGTTCGTTTTTGCCAGTATCACGCCCAATATGCAGAAATCATTTTATTCCCGACATGAAATCCCACCTTCAATGATTGCATCAAATTTGTCAATTAAAGTGTTTAAGATGACATGGCTCATGTCTACTCCTGTGATCATTTATCTCTCAACAGAACTTTTATAAGTCTGTTCTACAGAGGTTGGTACTGAATTGCTATGTTTATTTCCTGATTGATTTTTGTTTGGTAGCTTTGACTACAACATGAGATTATAATGATCTTGAAAGCAAGAGAGGATTTTATCTTATTTTTCTTTTAAATTCTCCTATCTATTTCCCTAGGCTGAGCCCATGGTCATAAAATACTTTTGAATGAAAAAATGCAAACTGTTTGTTTGTGTGTGTGTGTGTGTATTTTTTTTTATTTTTATTTTTTACCTATTAATCTCTCAGTCATATTATCTAAACTGCCTCTTCATTTTCTTTGCCGCTCTCTGAATGTTGAGGTTCTTCAAAGGGTTCGGTAAGTCTGTTTGGCTTTGCTTTTTTGATATTCTCAATAGTGGTTTGCACTTGCCTTGAATATAATCCTCATAACATTGTGTTATCCCTGAAATCACAAATCAGGTATATACAATATAAGTCACATATAATGTAACAGCCTTCTAGAAAATTTAT